TCAAACGTCAGAGGGAAGGTAGGGGAGGCTGGGGGTAAGGGGAAGAGATCAACCAAAGGACTTATATGCAAGAATATAGGCCTAACCAATGGACACAGACAACAGGGGGGTGAGGGCATGAGGGGGAAATGGAGGTAATGTGGGGATAAGGGCACATATGTAATAACTTAATCAATAAAGAAATTTTTTTAAAAAGCCAACCTCTTTGTAAAGACTACCACAGGGCCCCAACCCCTGCACCATGAAGAGGTACCCCTGCGTAAATGGATCCAAACCCACTAAGGATTAAATGCATTAGAAGAGCAGTGTTGATGTACATCTCATTCCAATCCATGTGTGCCCTGTGGAAACACCAGGACAGTCCTCAAGGACCAGCTCCAGTGCCAAGCCCACAGCAGAGCCTTTGCTGTGATTGGCTGCAGGAGTCCCTTCTTCTGAATCCCTTCTTCTTTAGAGAACTCCCCAGCAGGGCCTCTCACAAAGTCGCAACTCTATTGTTTCCCACAATAAGTGTTTCCTACTATACAGGCAGCTCTACTGTATAGAAATACTTGAAAACACCAATCTGTTCCAAATCTAGTGACATATTAGGGAACAGTTGGAGCATGTTGCAAATTTTGCATTTGCTTATGTGTGCTATCATCCACAAGAAATACCACATGAACACAGAACCATACCACATAGGAATACCCAAGACACATATATCTCAAACATCACCACCCACACCTGGTGTCACAACTTCCCGTCCAATTTTAGGCGGCCCTCCTTCCACCAGCTCACAATAACTCACAAGTGGCAACTCTTCTGATGCCCACTTCGCAAACAGGTGTCAAGGTGAAGCGCCATGTGTCCTGTGGTCTTCAGTATCTCATAGCCATTTGACAGGTGTAAAACTATGCTACCCTCTTTATTAGGTTCCCATCTTCTTTTTTTTAATATATTTTTAATTGATGTCAGAGAGGGAGAGAGAGAGAAACATCAATGAGAGAGAATCATTAACCAGCTGCCTCCTGCACGCCCCCTATTGGGGATCAAGCCCACAACCGGGGCATGTGCCCTGACCTGGAATGGAATTGTGACCTCCTGGTTTAAAAGTCAACACTCAATCACTGAGTCACGCCAGCTGAGCAGGTTCCTATCTTCTTTTATTTTTCATGTCACTGGTAATGTTTTTGAGTGTTTTAAGCATAATCTATTCTCCCTATAAGCCTTGTGGTGTCTGTTGTGTGATTTTACATACTGTGGATATTTCTAAGAACACATATGTTGTGTTATAGCAGAATGGACCATATAGTAAATGAGCTAATATAATATACATGAAGTGTTAGGAACACTTCAGAGTGCAGTAACATTAGCTATCATCATCACCATCACCAATATCATCATCATCACTATCACCATCATCATCATCATCATCATCACCATAGCCCCATATTTCATGGAGGCAGAGACCACAATTCACAGGCCTTTGGGTAGCATTCGGTGTCTTGAAATCGTAGATCATTCAATAAACATCTGTGTGATTGACAGACAGGTCAACAATAACAGCTGGTATTTCTCTATAATGTTGCCTCCAAGGGCTTTAATGTACATCACTCAGGAAGATGTCCCCACTCATGTCCTGCAAGGGGGGATACTCAGGGCCAAGACCAGTCCTCCCCTGCACTCTCCCACCATGCCCCCATTGCCCTTCCCTCCTACCTTTAAGAAGTCAAAGTGCTTGAGCATTCGGGCCACTTTCTCCGCGTTCCTCCCTTCATTGAGGAAATCCAGCTCCAAAGGCAGGTTCTTCTTGGCTTCATCCACCAGCCACATGAATTCAAACTCTGGAAACAGCTGTTTGACAGCCAGGACGAGCACCTGAAATCCACCAGGCACCCCATCAGTCAGCTCGACACCCCCCAAGGCACCCTGCCCTTCTGCCTGGTCTAAATGTTGACAACCCACCAGGTCTCCCCTGGAGTAAGGGTGAGTGGGAAAACAGCTCCCCTGACGCCCACCGCTGTAGTCCAAATCCAAGATGATGAAAAGCCACCAGCCACCAACCACCAGCAGTAATAACAACTACCATTTGCTGAGTGCTCCCCACATGCCCTGCACTGGCTCAGCACTTGACTGAGTTACTCCACTTCATGTGCACAATCTGGGAAGTACACAGTGCACACTCTTATCATCTCCCCATTTCATAGATAAGGAAATTAAGGTTCTGAGAGGTTATATGATTTTTCTTTTCTGAACTTGCCCAGTAAGGAAGCATAGGAATAGAATTCTGCTTGGGTCCACCCAGCTCCCAAAACTGTTGCTCTGAAGCATGTCGCTTAACTGCTGCCTTTGTTGCTCTTGGATCTTTACGGTCCTGTTTACGAAGGCCTGGAGTGTGTGCCACTATCACCGTGCTTTTATTTATTTCTTAAACTGAGTGGTTGGCACCTGACCATTCATGTTACTTTCTATACTTTTTGTACATCTAAACACGATGATAAAAAAAAAAATCAAATTGAAAAAGAAAACAGGGTTAGATAAGATTAGTAAGAGTTAAGGAATTTGACCACTTGGATGAAAAGCTCAGATTTTGGGCCATTTGGCCCCACTGTGGATTCTTGAGTGAAGACAGGATGAAAACGGGAGTGGGGTTAGAAGACTCATCTGGCATTTCGTTGTCAGTTTAATGATGTGAAATTAAATGTCAATGGCAGAGAACCAGAGTCCAGTGGCATCTGCGGAGCACGCCCAGCCCCTCCATGGGCAGGGACTCAGTTCTGAGGCTACCTCACCGCTGAGCTCTGGAGCTGAGACAGTCTCACAAGTTCACAGACGTGGCTCTGCAGTGGGTGAGCAAGGCTGATGCCAGGAACGTGGGAGATGGTCCAGCAATCCAGGAGGGAAGCACAGTGGGCAACCCTCCTGCTCGCTGATAAACCCTCCTGTTAGTGTTCAAAGTCGGGTCTGGGGAGACCACCGACCAACCCTCCCAGTAATTCTTGGTAGAGATTACAGTCCAAGTTTGAGATACCCCTCTCCACCCCTGGCTAGAGCAGGAGGACACTGAGCAGGAACCAAGGAACCATAGGCCTGCTGGTACCTCCCCCAACTATTAAGGACTAAGTGCCTGTGTCCCCCTTCCCTCCGCAAATTCTTATGTTGAAGCCCTAAGCCCAGTGTGATGGTGTCTGGATGTGGGGTCTCTGGGGGCTAATTAGGTTTAGATGAGGTCATGGAGGTGGGCCCCTATGATGGGATTAGTGTTCTTGTAAGCAGAGAGAGATCAAAGTTCACTTTTTCTCTGCCATGCAAGGACACAGAGAGAAGGCAGCTGTCTACAAGCCAGGAAGAATCGGCTGGCACCTTGACCTTGGACTTCCAGCTTCCACAACTGCGAGAAATAAACGTCACAGTTTAAGCCACCTGGTCAATGGTATTTTGTTATGGCAGCCCCAGCAGCCTAAGACACCAGCCAGTCTATCCCGGAGGATTTAGTGAGCCCCACCTATGAGCCTTGGCTTGTGTTTCCCTTTGTCCTGGTCTATAATATTATACCCAACATGTGTTCATCACAAGTGGTACGAAAGAAATAAAGCTAAAGCAGAGCCATAAACTACAAGGCATTAACAGTTTTGCTTTTAAGCACAAGTCCTAGGCTGTGTACCAGACGCCGGTCTAAAAGAATCATCACATAAGGTTATTATATTCAATTTCTCTCAAAACTCTTTTTAATTGCATTTGGTTGCAGTCTAATTTCTTTTAAGTCTTGTCTAGTCTTTCACGGACCAGACCTGTGACCTTATGATAATCAATTTAGTTTATGTTGTATTTCTGTTGGTGTCACATGAAACTGGAAGGCAGAGAGAGGTGGCAACATCTAGCCTAGCAGCCTCCAGGCACTGCATCTCATCACCATGCCCTCAGATGGCCCTTAGCAACCACCAAAGGGGAGGAAGAGCTGGCGCACAGGAAGCAGACGCACCTTCCCAGGCCTGGGCCAGGGGCACACACATCACCAGAGGCACCTGAATTCAACTCTGGGCTCTAAGTGCAGGCAAGAAACCTCTTCGGACTTTGGTTCTGACCTAAATTCCAGAGGTTCTCACCCAGTAGGGATGAGGAAAGAAGCTGCAATGAGGCTTGGTCAATTGTTCATTCAATATTTACTGATTAACTCCTAGGTAATGACCCTGGGTCAGATGTGAGTGTACACAGGGAGTTACATGCAACCAAGTTGAGTCTATACCTGGGAATGAGTCTTTTGGCCAAACAAAAATCCTCATCATTTACTCTACGGTCACTGTTATTTGTGAAATTTTTCATTATCATTAACATCCAAACAGCACTGATAGGCACTTTAAAGATTTTTCTGTTACTAATCAGTTATATAATTAGTTATCACTAGTACTATTGGTTATTATTAATACCTAATGTCATTAATCATAAAAGCAATCAAAGATTTTATTGACTGATATTAATTGCTAATAACTACTTAGTAAAATAATTCATAACCCAAAAAATTGTACAGTACTCATTGAACTGGTTTCTAAAGCATTCTCTGGGTGGTGGGTGAGTTACTCCCCTGGTTATCCTATTTTATTTTAATATGTTTTTATTGATTTGAGAGAGAGAGGAGGTGGGGAGCGGGGGGAGCGAGAAACATTGATGTAAAAGAGAAACATCGATTGGCTGCTTCCTGCCCACTCCTTACTGGGGATCGAGCCCACAACCTTTGCAGTGCCCCTACCTGGAATCGAACCAGTGATGTTTTGGTGCTTGGCGTAGTGCTCAACCAACTCAGCCACACCAGCCAGCGCATCCTTGATTATTTTAAAACAAAGGTCAGTTTGGATGGAAATCAATGGTTCTTAGTTTTCTAGGAGGACACCATCCACATTAAAGGAAGTCACCAATCTAAAATTTTGGTGCTAGCTATGAAGCCCAGAAAATGTACATGCTTGCATAATTTTGCACATAATTCAGGGGATGAGGAGAAGGGTCAGATTAAGCATTGTCTGGTCCAAGTCACTGTCTGATCCAAGTCTAAAACTTTTCTTGGCTGAGGGAAATAAATAAAACTCAGTTTCACCTTCTGTTTTCATTCAATTCCCTTCTTAAGAGCCTGCTCTAAGTAGATTCACTTAAGTTTTTCTTTTTTGACAACAGATGCAATCAACTAAAATAAAACAGGTGTTGTTATCAATTTGACTTTTTTATTTTTCTTCCAAAATGTATTTTCTCCATAAAATTCTTCCAACAGCCAATATTTTCACCAGTGTCTAGCATGTGCTCAATACACGGCAGATGTTTATTGAATATTCACGTGAATAAGTGAGCGAATGAATAAATGAATGAACAGATGAACATTTCAAAGGATTTGTCCTCTCCCGAGAAATAATTATATGTTCACATGTGTGTTATTCAAATGGATTAAATATTCTATTTCTGAGGTTTTGGTGGGAAAGGGGATTATCTCCAAATTTGGGCAACCACAGTTTTGGAATGCCTGAGAATTTTCTACTTGATTTGGAACCTTAGGAATCAATCAAGGTATATTCAACAATTAATACCTCCTTCAAGATAGAATAATGAAATTATTTTCCTATAGGGCAGTGGTTCTCAACCTGTGGGTTGCAACCCCTTTGGCGGTCGAATGACCCTTTCACAGGGGTTGCCTAAGACCATCCTGCATATCAGACATTTACATTACGATTCATAACAGTAGCAACATTACAGTTATGAAGTAACAACGAAAATAATTTTATGGTTGGGTCACAACATGAGGAACTGTACTTAAAGGACCAGAAGGTTGAGAACCACTGCTATAGGGTCAATGGTTCACATGAGGGAAAATCAATTGTGGGCCATACAGAAATATAATGGAAAAATTAAGAGTCACATAAAAGCTTGAAAACTTGACTGCTATTGATAATAGTAAAAAAAAGGGGGAGGGGAGATTACAATTTAGCACCCACTACATGCCAGGCACTGTGCTGCAAGACACTTTATATGTATGTCCTCATTTCGTCCTCTGCATGTCCATTTCACAAAGAAGGAAACCGGTTCCAGGAGGTTAAAGTATTTCTCAAGGTCACATAACTTATAATTTCAAATGCAGGACTTAGATCCAGGTGTTTTGGGGGTTTGTTGGGGGTTTTTTTCCTTCTTTCTTTATGCAGCCCTGTCTCGTGCAGTACAATACAAAATGATACAATAGGAAGCTTGTGATAAGGCATAAAAAGAGCTTTGTAAACTGTAACATGCAGCTGAAATGCAAGTTCCTGTTATCAAGTTATTATATATTATAAAAGAAGTAACGTTCTATGGGAAACAGAACACAAAATAGAACACCTGTGCAAACCCGAACTGGTGAAAATGGGTATTTGACAAGGATCGAAAATCAATTCGAAGCTACGTAAATAACTCGGCACTCATGGCCTTATCTTTGTTCTGATAAGTTGTTAAAGTGCACACTTTTTAGAAAACAGAAAATATAGGGTGAAGAAAAGTTTCCGTGGGGTTGTCTACATCTCTGGGTTTTTAAAGAGATCTATCTTTAAAAATAAAATCAACCATTGGATTCTGTGCCACACACAAACATTACCTGGCCACCCACTGTTCAATCAACACATTCAGAAAAGAAATGAGACGACAGCAGCATTTCCTGAAAATGTGGTTCCAAAGAAGTCAAAAACATGACTGTATCACAGGTCTTTCTTTTTAGAGACCCTTGGGATGGGCAGGGTGGCATCAAATGGGGGGTCAGATTCTAGTGCTCAGACCAGAGTCCCATCCAAACACTGAAGAGCATGTTGGGGACAGGTGGTACACAGAGGGCAGGGTGCCCGGCCATGAGTTATAGAGTCTTTAGGGCAGTGGTTCTCAACCTTATGGCCCTTTAAAACAGTTCCTCATGTTGTGGCCCCCAACCAAAAATTATTTTCATTGCTACTTCATAACTAATTTTGCTACTGTTATGAATCGTAATGTAAATATCTGATATGCAGGATGGTCTTAGGCGACCCCTGTGAAAGGGTCGTTCGACTGCCAAAGGGGTCACAACCCACAGGTTGAGAACTACTGCTTTAGAGGGTGACAGTGCAAGGGGGAGCTCAGCATCAAACTGGGAATCTTGAGACATACAGGGTGGTGTCCCCATCGGGATGTGGGGATCAGATCTCACCCCCGGTTCCCAGGTCATCCAAATCCTACTCTGCTCTCAAACACAGTGCACCTGGCAACTGAGCTCCCTATTACTGTGGACAGAGAGGAGCCACTGCAAAGCCAGCCCGCCAGCAGCCCGCCAAGGGTGGACTCTGCCTT